AAAGAAGTGGGTGGAGGTGAAGAAGTAGTAACAAGACTGGCCATTAGTTTATGTTATTGAAGCTGTTGATGTGTTCATAGGGATTCATTCTATTGTGGCCAGTTTTTATGTTTGGCAGTTTCTACATCTGACCTAGTTGTGATTAAAATCAGGGACTCCTGATTAAAGTGTGACTGAAATCAGAGACATCCAGATTGCCTGGGTTCAAAACTCCCAGCATGGCTACTTCTGGCAAGTCACTGTGCCTCAGTTTCATCTGTAAATTGGGAGAATAGAAACTATGTAGCAAGGTTGTTATGAGGATGCAATATGGTAAGATTGTAAGGTTCTTGGAACACTGCTTGGGGCTTATTAAATACACTGTAAATACTTGAAGAAAATACATAAATAAAATCGACCAGAGATAGTGGCTCATGTCTGTAATCCCAGCTCTTTGGGAAGCTGAGGAGGCAGGGTCGCTTGAGCCCAGGAATTTGAGACCAGCCTGGGCAACATAGCAAGTCCTTGTCTCTACCAAAAAAAAAAAAAAAAAAATTAGCTGGGCATGGTGGCATGCACCTGTAGTCCCAGCTACACAGGAGGCTGGGGTGGATCACCTGAGCCCAGGAGGTCGAGACTTCAGTGAGCCGTGATTGTGCCACTACACTCCAGCCTGGGCAACTGAGTGAGACTCTTACTCAAAAAATTAAGAATACATAAATAAAATAAAATGATCTACCTGATTTTCAGTTTCCTCATCTGAAAATCTGACAATTATTACTTCAGCGGGGCTTTGTCAGCATTCAACTTGAAATGCTAAATACAGTGCCTGGAATATAGTTTATGTCCAATGAATGTTTTAACCATCACATTCACTGGTCTCCTACCAGACTTCCTGACTCAGCATGTCTGAGGGAGGGACCCTGGAAACTATTTTTCATAAGTTCCACTAGAATTCAGCTAGAGCCAAGTTTGGTCAGTGTTGGTGCTGGCTTCCTTCTAGCTGCCAATGCGTTACCCACAGTGTCTGAGCTGGGGCTGGGGATGGCATGGGGCCCAAGGGGAGCTCCAGGGGTGAGCTGAATACAGAAGGTGGTTCAGTGGGGTTCCAGGAGTCACCTTGAGCAGGGAGGTCCGGGGCACACAGAGCAGGTTCACGGCCATGGAGAGCTTCCGGAAGAACTCCGTGGCAATGTCGCCCAGCCCAGCCCCCTGCAGCCAGTCCAAGACAAGGTCCAGGTTGGTTCGGATTTGGACAGCTCGGGACCACTGATAGAAAGGTCGGCCTTGACCTGTGGGTAAAGGGCATTAAGGGTATGAGAGGCAAAGGGTGGGAGGCCCCTGTCCTCTGCCTTCCAAACGTTCCCATCTTCCGCTTGGGATCTAGAGTTTGCTCCCCAGGGTACCCAAAGGTAAGGCCTGAGCCGGTGGCATGTCTAACTTGACGGGGGTCTTAGCGGCACCCGTCTTTGCCTCCCTGCCAGCTCCCAGCCCAACCCTCACCTCGTTCCATCAGTGAGTTGAGAAGCGAGGCGTTGGAGAAGAAGAACAAGTAGCCGAAAGTCTGAGACACGAGGTCCGGGTGCAGCTCGCACTGGCTGGTCAATTCCAGGGCTGCCTGGAACACGCCCAGGGTAGGTCTCAACCCTGGAGGCATGGCCCCCAGCTCCGCACCAGGCCCTGGCAGCTCTGCCCCAGCTGTGAAAGGATTACTATCCAGGAGTGCAGGCAGTGTTGAATACAGAGTCTGCAGAGACACAGAGGTGCAAACAAATGATTGGACTACAACCCCTGCAAGTTTCAGGGCAGGAGAGAGGAGGATAAAGGTGCACTCCATCAAGGGCTTCTGGGAGTTATAGTCCATTCAACACCCTAAGGGGCCCCATTAGCAAATTCCTGCTTTGTATATGGGTTTCTAGCATTTATTAGGCCTGGAGCAACTCTAGTCTTTAAAAAGGAGGCCGAAGCCGTGGCTCACACCTGTAGTCCCAGCACTCTGGGAGGCTGAGGCAGGAGGATCACTTAAGCCCAGGAGTTCAAGACCAGACCCGGCTACATAGCAAGACCTCATCTCTAAAAAATAATCAGGCCAAGCAGGTGGCTCAAGCCTGTGATCGGAGCACTTTGGGAGGCTGACATGGGAGGACTGCCTGAGCCCAGGAGTTCTAGACCAGCCTGAGAAACACATCCAGACTCTTAGAAAAATAATAATAATTAGCCAGGCATGGTGGTGTGTACCTGTAGTCCCAGCTACTGCAAAGGCTGAGGCAGAAGATTGCCTGAACCCAGGTAGTCAAGGCTGCAGTGAGCCATGATCATGCCACTGCACTCCAGGCTGGGACAGAGTGAGACCCTGACTCAAAAAAATTAGAAATTAAAAAGTCAGCCAGGTGTGGTAGCACATGCCTGTAGTCTCAGCTACTCAGAAGGCTGAGGCTGGAGAATCACCTGGGCCCAGGAAGACAAGGCTGCGGTGAGCCATGATCATGCAACTGACTCCAGCCTGGAAGAAAAAGAGTTAAGACCCTGACTCAAAAATTTTTGAAAAACATTAAAAATAAAAGGACTTCCAGGCCAAGTACGGTGGCTCACACCTATATCTCAGAATGTTGGGAGGCCAAGGTAAGAGGATTGTCTGAGCCCACAGGTTTGAGACCAACCTGAGAGACTTGGCAAGACCTCATATCTCTACAATAAATAAAAAAATCAGCCGGGCTCAGTGGTTCAGCCTGTAATCCCGTGCTTTAGGAGGCTGAGGTGAGTGAACTGCCTGAGCCGCGGGTTCCAGACCCGCCTGGGCAACTTGGTGAGATCTCATCTCTACAGTAAATCAAAAAAATTAGCCAGGTGTAGTAGCGCGCACCTATAGTTCTAGCTACTTGGAAGGCTGAGGCAGAAGGATCACCAGAGCCCAGCAGGTCGAGGCTGCGGTGGCCGGGAGCATGCCACTGCACTCCGGTCTGGGCGACGGAGTGAAACTCCAACT